ACTTGTGTAAAACTTTTAATTTAATTGTATACATTTCCCAACTTGATGATAGTATGTACCATTTATAAAAGAAAAACAGTACCCCCTGCAGCATCCATTAACATGGAAAATCGATGCTAGTACCTTTGGTTGTGAATAAACGTTTAATACAAATGTCCAAGTAATCGCTGATTATTTTAATGTTACATTTATTATATTATATTTATTAATTATGAATTTAGTTTGAGTAATAGAAATGCCCTGTGAACCTGCAAGAAGAATCGCTTGCTGAAAACCTGACATTAGTATATAAGTCCTTAAAAGGCAATATATTAGCATTTTTGAAGAATAACTAAATAAAAAAAAAAAGCATTACTATATTGCTGCTTACCAGTTAGTTTTTCCGCATTCTTTTCTTAAGATTTTTTCCCCTTTATAACCCCACGAATAACACTCTTCCTTCTGTCTCTTCATGGCTATGTTTACCCTTCTTTTTAGCCTTGTTTTCCAGCACATCCCACAGATGATTTATTTGATTGAGATCTGGAGAATTTGGAGGCCAAGTCAACACCTCAAACTCATTGTTGTGTTCAACAGACAAATTCAAACACAGCGCCAACAGATTTTGGTTCAAGAATGTGATAATCAGTGATGTTCGAAATGCAGGGCGATAACGGGGCAGCTCTCACCAGGTTCAGAACAACCTCAGCACTACAAGACAAGACACAGAGAGCGCCTCCATCGCATAAAAACTTTTTAATAAGCAGATAAAAAAGATGGTATAAAGGTACTCACAAGAGTTGAATAAAAACAGGCATATAAGGGTCAGATCGAGAGGTGCATATCCACGGGCTGTTCGTCCTCCCTGGTAGTGGAGTGGTTTACGCGTTTCAGAGATCACGCGTCCTTCCTCAGAACCAGACTGAGGAAGGAGGCGTGACCTTATTCGACTTTTGTGAGTACCTTTATACCATCTTTTTTATCTGTTTATTAAAAAGTTTTTATGCGATGGAGGCGCTCTCTGTGTCTTGTCTTTCATTGTTGTGTTCATCAAACAATTCTTGAACCATTTTTGCAGTGTGGCAGGGTACATAATCCTGCTGAGAGAGGCCACTGCCATCAGGGAATACCGTTTCCATGTCAGCAACAATGTTTCGATGTGTCAAAGTAATAACCTTATAAATGGCAGGTCCCAAGGTTTCCCAGCAGAACATTGCCCAAAGCATCACACTGCCTCCATCAGCTTACCTTTTTCCCATAGTGCATCCTGGTGCCATCTCTTCCCCAGGTACGTGTCACATGCACCAGGACATCCACATAATGTAAAATCAAATTTATCAGACCAGGCCACCTTCTTCCCTAGCTCTGTGGTCTGATGTTCAGGTGCCCATTGTAGGCATTTTTGGCGGTGGACACAGGTCAGCACAGGCACCCTGACTGGTCTGCAGGCTACATTAGCTCTTTATTGGATCGGACTACGCGGGCCAGCCTTTGCTTCCCACATCCACAAATGAGCCTTGGCCGTCCATGACCATGTCACCTGTTACCGTTTTTTCTTCCTCGAACCACTTTTGATAGGCTCTGACCACTGCATACCAGGAACATCCCATGAGAGTTGCAGTTTTGGAGTTTCTCTGATCCAGTAATCTAGCCATCACAATTTGACCCTTGTCAAAGCCACTGAAATCCCTACTAATGGCCATTATTTCTGCTTCCAACATATCAATTTCAGTGAAAAAAAGTTAACTTGCAACCTAATATATCCCACCCACTTTCAGGTGCCATTGTAACAAGATAATCAATTTTGTTCATCTCACCTCTCAGTAGTCATAATGTTATACCTAATGGGTGTATATCTGAAACACATGCTCCTTCCCCATGCTATGTCTCTTAAAAAAAACATAAGTACAGAGAAATACAGAGAAAAACTATGAGCTGCTAACTTCCTTTTTTAAAGTGACCCTGCCTCTGCTGCACTAAATTTCCAAGCAGTGCTGTCATCCCTGCCTAAGTTCTCCTCCACAGCATTACAGAACACTTTTTTGTGGAGGTGAGAAGAGAAGGAGGTACTCTGCAGCCCAGCACAGGAGAATTCAGGTAAGGCTGACAACACTGCTTAGGATCTTACTGCAGCATTGTCAGCTTACTACAGGAAGTTAGGACCTCAGCGGATGTCTGGCAGGATCAACAGGTACTTTTATTACTTGCACGGGTTTAAAAAGACTAAACATTGGGGGCATGGTTATGTATTGCAAAGATTTACTGATATGCTTTTGTTTACTTTTTCCAGGCACACACTTTCAATTTATTGAACTATACCAGGGAATTGTAACAGTTTTATATGTTACCATACAAAACTGAACTAAATAAGTAATTTTAAGTAGTTTTTACACTGACATGTGTTTGCTTCCATATCTAACACATTTTAGGAAACTTAAAAGAAGAGACCAAAATGCAGACAGAGTGAGCAGGAGCTAGTATAAAAATGACTCCTTCTGTAAATTGTTTATTGTATCTGTTTAACTTCATGCTTTTCTGACTTATGTTAAATGATTTTTTAGTCACAATGAATTCCACAGAAAAACTCTCTAAACCTATAATAGTCCACTGAAAATCCTAAGACATATTACTCATCGCACTGTAAAAATAGCTGTTATTTCAGTTCCATTGTCAGACAAAAATCATCAGTAAACTTGCACAGTATCAAGTAACGTCCTCCTGGGTCTGCTGTGTTTTAAATGGCAGCCCAAGGAGACCTTTTAAAGCGTAAACTGTCAGTGCCTCTGGTTACCAGCGACTATAGAGATCTTCAGTTCTGGTTTGAGTTTGTCTATTTTTCCTAAAATCACATTTTTAATTTTTTGTTGTGTAACTTGAGGACCATGCTAGCAGCACACTTCCATAATGTACTTATATTTCTAAGTCCTCAAATTCCACATGAACATTTAGGTTATAGTAGGATAAACTGAACGACAATGTGTCAAAGCAAAATGCAGACCAAGCATCTATTTGTATACTGAATTTTGTGTTTTGACTAATCATCTTCTCTAAATTTAGTATGAGTGCAGACAATTTGCTATATAAAATTACCAGGCACTGGTAATTGCTGTTACCTGCTGTTACCAGGCACTATTTTCTGCTACATGGTCAGATCTGCACCCAAATTTCCTGTATAATTTTGGATAGAGAGATAAAGTATTAGAACTGCTGTCAGATGTTTTCTGAAGTTTGTGTCCCCATTGGAGTGATTCCTGTTACTTTATATCCTGGTGACCACTTTGATTGGGACAAACTGTGATGGCAAATCTCCTTAATGGATTCATAGACAAAGGATTTGCCTTACAGAACTTCCAACCCTCCCTTTCTACACTGATACAGCACTTAGTGTGGTTTTTGACATGAACCTTAACACCCCCCATACCAGAAAAACTAGAAATTAAGTGGCACACAAAGCATGCTATGCCACATGTTGGTTGTGGCCAATGTGGTTAGTGGGAGGGTCTTGACGAGGAACGTTATCCATATCTTCAAAATAACAACCTTAATAATAACAACCACCTTTAGAAATGTTTAGTAATGGCAATCTACAATCAGATACTTCTAGATAATTGACGGCTTTTTATTTTTTGTCATGGCCATTTTAACTAAGGGCAGGTTATATCCCTTTATTTCCTGAAACTCTGGCACACATGACTAGGACATGTGACTAGGACATGTGACCATGAACAACTCGGGGGTGAAAATGCCTTTCCCCGAGATCTTGTGAGATTACAGATGAGATTTCCAAGCAATCATCTGCTGATATAACCTGCAGGAGGCAATGCTTAGGCACGATTACATCAAAGTGAATCAGGAAGTGGAAAAAAAGAAAGCAGGTAAGACAAAAATATGTTTGTTTAACTAATGAATGTAAGACGATTTCATATCAGCAAAAATGTATGCTGATGTGATTTGAGAAATAAGGTATAAAAAAAATACAGAGCCGGCAATTATCTAGAAGTATGTGTTTGTAGATTGTCATTACTAAACATTTCTAAAGATGTGTTTGCTGCTATTTTAAAGATATGGGTAAAGGCCCACCTTAAACCCTGGCAAGCGCAAAGGCAGGGTTAAAAGCTTTCCTCCTTCCTCTTACTCTCAACTGACCAGGAGGCAGACAGAAAGAGCTAGGGCAAGCAGCTCAAGCTCTCCTGCTATGTCTGGCTCATGGCACAGAATAGAGAGCAGATTACTCTAATTACCAAACAGGTCTGCATTCCCTTTATCTTAGTAGCAAAATCTGCTGCTTTTTCAGTTTAGAAGATGGGCATAGACTTTATTCCTGGACCACTGCTTGTTAATTCTCCCCAAAAATGTGTACTTGCTGAAACAGCACTTTAGTTTACCTTCATTATGTAGCTTGATGATTACAGGTCTACCTCCATGGTGCACTGGAATAATACCTAATTGTATGCTGTTAATACACCCCTCACTTTATTTAATCATACTACTGTATTTTATGGACATTTAAACACATTTTCTACACTAGGGTTGCTGAAATCTCATCTGTGATTAATAAGTTAGACACCGTACTGGTTCAATTTTATGAACCCTTTATGAACCACCTATTGTATGTTTACAGTTACAAGCCGTTTAGAAATATTTCATATATTTTCACAGTTCATAAAATATTCTAAGACACAAACAAATAAGATATGTTTATGCACAAGACCACTTCATATCTTGGAACTGCTTTCATTTTGATTTCAAATACACAAGCATGTTGTATGTAGACCATTCATAGCAAACCAGGGGGCTTTACAAAAATTGTCACACCTGTTTTGTAGCCCACGAAGCCGATGAAATCACTCATTATTTTCCTCTGGAGTGATATGGTTTTAATCATTTTACCAGAGGTACCGTAAAGCATACATACAGGCCACACACAAACAAATAATCTCAAGCTTAAGAAAACAGATTAAGAAATCATTAATATTTAATATAAAAAGTCTATTTTTTCAGTTATTCACAGAAGGCTTGCCAGAAAAAAAAAAGTCAACCGTAGACAGACATAATACAAAACAGGTATGGGGAAACATATAAAGCACTTTGTTTTCAGAGGGAAACAAACTATTGCTGTCCTTTAAGGCAGAATCAGCTGAAGTTGATTCTTTACATGTAGGCTAATATCCAGGGTCCAAAGCAGGATGTTCCAGCTGTAATGGCCACATACAAATGTACTTTATTTAGGCAGAAAATCCATTACCCGTCTCAAAGCCAAAACTTGGTACAATGTCTACAGTGCCATGGAATGCCCCGGCCCATGCTGGAGTAGCCATGGTGGGTGTTGTGGCTTCAGTTTTAGTCACATCAGAATGAGTTGCTGGAATCCTGGCTGACCGCATTGAGGGCATTACAAGAGGTCCGTATCGTGGGTCCACATGGGAATTGGGATGGTGATGATGGTGGTGATGATGATGCATATGAGGATGAGCATGGTGGCGATACATGTAAATGTCATGCATGTGGGCATATGGTGATGTCGTTGGTGAAGCCAATGGATAGTGCCAGGACTCCGGTGGAGGATGTGGGACAGTCTGGTGAACGTTATCTCCAGGCCAGCTGCTGTGCTCTGTATTTGAGAGGTTACTGGCTGATGTGGAGGTAAAGTCTGGATGAACTCCACTCAGGCAAGTTGGAGCTGACTGATAGGAGTTTGTCCATAAGGATGGAGGTAGACTAGTCCGCTGGCATGATATTGATGGGCTCTCTGAAAATGAAAAGAAACATACAATAAGTCTTCCACTCTAAAATGAGGAACGGTGAATTAATATAATGAAAAGGGGATTTTTGTTTTCATTGTATGTCATAGCATTCAGTGAGAATCTTAGAAGTAGCATTTTATTACAGGGCCTTGCTCTCACAAATTGTGCACTGCATGATTGGATTAACAAAATTGGCTGCTGTTGGCATCAAACTTATTTTAGCACTTCTCTATGATTAGCAGCCACCAAGCTGCCACCAGTAATGGAAGTATGGAGGTTACAGGAGGTACAACTATACCTAAGCCACGGGGTTGGATAGCACAAGAAATTACTCTATTGCCTGTACTGAAGGATCCTTTCTTACATTGGACTTTCATCTGATTGATGTTCAAATGGAAAAGTGAACGATTACGTATGTCAACACATCTTTATTTAAAGCTGACACTGCAGATACAGTTCACTGAACATATGAAAAGTATAACTGTAATACACACAGCTGTTCACAATAAAAGGTAAATTGAAGCCAACCTGTGTGTTCCTGTTGAAATTGAAGTACATTGCAAACATGTTCCACATATAGTGCAGTGTGCCATGTCTGTCTGCCGAACTCCACTGCCTGGCTGCTAACTGGCATTCAGGGAAAACATGGCAAAGACACCCATGTACTCTTGGTATTTCCCAGGTATAGGTATATTTAAATATTATTTTCAGGAGTATATATATTTTCTATATCACTGTTGCAAAAACATTCTATTAATGCTGCACTTTAAAGTGTAACTATGGGCTAAATCAGAATTCACATATACCATGCAGTTTGTCACTATCATTAACAAAGCAGTTTTGTTTTTCTGAGCCCCCTGTAACATACTGTAACTGCATTACCTGTTGATCCTGCCAGTAGATCCATTATTTTGCTATTACCTTTAACAGGGTGACAACGCTGTTTGTTTTGTAGTGAAAACGCACAGCAGCCATGTTACCTTGTGATCAGGGTAGTTTAGATGGACATGTAGTTTTAAATGGACTTTACAGCGGACCTTTCCCCCAAAAACATAAAGGAAAGATGCATGCAGTGATACATGCTGAAGAGTAAACACTTTATGTTCCTATGTGAAAGAATGTTTTTCCTTTAAACTTACATTTTGGTTTTTGAATTTCTGCCTTTTCTGGTGCTATAGCCAGTGTCTCCCAGCTACCTCCTACAAAGGCTATGAAGGCTACCAGGGCCTTCCAGGGAACTCTAGTAGGTAAACTGCTAGATCTACCAAGATTTTATGAAATCTCATGAGATCTCTGGGGGAAAAGCCCACTTTTTCTTTCTACACAGATTGGTGGTCTAGACCAGAGAACAAGGAAGATGTGTCCCCACCAATGATGTCTACTAGTCAAACTGCTAGCGTGGAATTATAGAAGGAGGAGAAAAAGAACATTATCATATTTGAAAACAGAAACCAAGGAGGTGAGAAATTATACTTAGATATGTCCATTTGATTATAGTAACTACAGTAATAGTAACAATTTCAAATGAGGAGGAAGGGAATTTCTACTGTAAGTGAGAGACAAAACTTAAAGCCCAACTCCAGCTAACATATTCTAAGGAGATACAGCACCTGGATTTTCCTCTTCTTATAGAAAAAAGATTTAAGCAACATGAATGAATGCTCACTGTTATATGCAATCTTGTCAGTGTTAGATGGTTTGCCCCAATCCTTGTTACTGCCACTATTGCTGAACAGCTTGCCCAATTGCAGAAAGTGAAAAGTCAACAGTTCTACTGGCAGGTTCAAGGAGGGGGGTTTAGAAAACAGAAACCGTGTTAATGCTACAGACTGTAACATATATGTGTTTTTTTATTTTTTAGTTCTACTCTAATGATTTGATTACAATTACAGTGACCACAGTGACACAATGGGGGTGATTTACTAACCTAAACACACGCACGCACTAGGTGCGTGTGATTTTTACACAGCAAAACGTATTTATCAACCAAAAAGTCTCTAAAAGCATATTTCCACTAATGCCATATATGGAAAAATCATGCACATGATGCATATATAATGCTGCTTCACAGTTTAGACAAAAATGGTTAGCTCATGCATTTACATTCCTGCATTCATCAACGCAAGCAACACAACATAGAGCTAATTTACACAACATCACCTTGCAATTCATGCTTGGCTTTGCACAACACACCTGCTGGGTGTGTACACACTACAAAGGTGTTTAGATTCCACCCATAGATCATGCTGGGAGGGAACACACTACAGAGGTGTATACATGTTAGTAGTGTGTTTATAAGGTTAGTAAATCAACCCCAATTGCTCAATATCATGTTCATGTGAGTGGGAAGGCTTCTGTCAGCCCACTGGATGTGCCAAACTGCACTCAGAAAGAACTTACAGAAGCCCCCAGTTTTTTGCCTATATAGTCACCCATGCCCCATTTAGATTCAAGGTGCTTGAGTAATCTATACCCTGCCCTAGTTAAAGCACCACAAACCCAACTTCTGTGTTCCCATTGCCACTAAGAGTAATTGGCATCTCTCATTATTTCCCCATTCATCAGAATAGAGAAAGAAAAGTATTTACACCTCAAACGTAAACCTCTCTAAAACAATGCATTTACTGGAACAACCTTTTCTTACAACATATTTCATTCACAAGATGTGTATACTATGGGAGAATGTAACCTTATATGATACAAGCCATCAAAGCAAACAACAATCATGCTGAAACAGACACAACACAGTGTGAATAAAAAGTCAGAAATCATGTTTGGTGAACTCATGAGATAGTGAAAATGCCTTTTATAGTCATGACAAGAGATGGGAAACCATGTATTCAAGAATGGATAAATCTGCCTACTGAATAATAGTTTGGAGAATTTTTTTCCTTGTTCGGGGTTGAGCATGCTCATTTTTCTAATTATAAGTAAAATGTCAGCTATTTTAAGAAGGAAGATCCCATGGGAACAGTATTGGATGCCTGGATTAGATTTGTCTTTCCATGTCTAAAAGAAAGATTTCCGTGTTATTGTCTATGTTTCTGAACTATCTGCATTTTCCACTAAGGGTCAAGAACGTCTAAAGTGTCATCAAAACTCTGTTGCGTAATACAGGTATTGATTTGTCTGGGGATCAGCCGGAAAGTTTGATACTGTGTTAGCACAAGCTATAGAAAGGGTGGCCTTTTATATAATTCCTTGTTTCATTTTTTTTCACATACAATAAACTCTTAATTACAAGTGAATCCAAAGCAATCCAAATGTCATACCAATTAGGCCGTAACTCCTATACAACACTGTCTTTTATACCATTAAAGACCACATACTTTCTATCTCAAAGTCCCCACTGTCAGTCCATAACACTTACCTCTAAGAGCCTGCACATCAGGCCATTTCCAATGTGAGCACCCTAGGGATCAGGGAACCTACCCCCATTCCTCAGGTATGCTAATATTCACATATTTCTCAGGGTGGTGTGTTGAAAATCTGTTGACCGGAGAACTACACAGTAATGGGTCAATTGTAGGACTGAGGTGGAGGGAGGTGGTTGGATTTCAGGTTCCTGACCTGCTTCCAATGAAAATTGATCTGATGGTATAGCACCTGTATGTGTGTGTTGTGAAGTTACAATGCTGGATTATGTACGTATTTTACACTTTAAAGTGCAGTGGTACATAAAAAGTTTCTGCAGACCAAATGATGCTAAGGTTAGAAAGTAGAGGGAAGCTGAATTATTATTATTATTATTATTATTATTATTATTAGTAGTATTATTATTATTATACAGGATTTATATAGTGCCAACAGTTTGCGCAGCTGAATTGAATACAAGTTGATATATCTAAAGTTACCCTAAATAATAGGGTTTTTATTCTATTTGGATGAAAGACATTTTTGCTCCCACCATTGCACTGATTTTCCCACATATCTGGCTGTCCTTGAAGTCAATGCCCTAGTGAAGTCAATAGAATGACACTACTTTCTTCCAGGAGAAAATGCCTGGAAAATGAGGAAATATTGCTATAGCAACTTTACAATAAAGGAGCTACAAAGCAATGCAATGACTACCTACAAATGTATCCACCCAAAATAAAATTTAGTTTAAGATCTTATCTGTATTGTTCCCTTCAAAGGGTTTTCAATTTTCACATCTCTTCTTCTACTCAACCTTGTTACATTTCTGCTACAGAGTTGCATTTTATGCAGAGAATATTTATATATGACAAACATATGTATTAGCTGATAATAATATAAAATGTTTGTATAAGAGCCAGTCTTTGTCTTTACCTCGACTAGTTCCTGCTTTGGTCTTAGTGTTGGTGCTTTCTGGATTTAAGGTGCTTATTTGACTCAATGCTCTTGAGAAATGTTCATCCACAACTGCTCCAATGTCTCCATGAAAGTAGGTCAAGAGGACACATCGAGAATTCAAATACTCCATCTCTGCAGGCTGCTCTTTCTCATCCTCTTCCTGCTTGGTTGGAAGAGTCACCTCCAATGTCTCTTGCATCTTACTATATGCAGCAATCTTTTTCTGTAGAAAAACATAGACGTATTAGACTTATTGCAAGTATTTTACATCTCCTACAAATTGATAAAGCCGAGCTTGTCCTATGCTCAGCAATAAAAGTGTCCTTTTGCTTAATCCTCTCGGGTCATCTAAAGGTTTATATATATATATATATCTTGTAGATTGAATAAAAAGACATGACAGTCATGGTTAAGGGCTTTCTATAAATTACAACATGATTGTAAATATTCTGTTAATTGCTTGTTGAACTAAGTAGAGCAAAAAGCTACTCTACAATTCTGTAGTTTCTTTTATTGCTTCAGTTTTCATAGATGTAGCTGAAACATTGTCACAGCCATTAATGAAGTAGTTCTGTTGTTTCCACTCTTGTTGAAAATAAATTAATGAAAAACAACATTATGACAGGCAAAGTTGTGATGCTTCTAAAAACTAGCATTGCAGTTTATTCCTAAGCCCCGCCCCCCACATTCCTACTAGAGTATGCTTACTCTTGCTGTTTGGGGAAGGGGTTGCTTCTTCTAGAAATAAATCTTCTGTAAAGGATTCTGTACCTTCCAAACATTAAAAAGATAAACTTGTGGGCATTTGTGGACATTGTAACAGAAAAAAGGCCCCTGGGTATCCATTTTTGTGCCTGCATAGCATGATAAATCAGCGGGATAATTGTGGGGAATTCCATTTGCAGAGAATTTGTTCTCCCAGTTAAATATGCATATTGTACCTGAATATTTTGTAATATCATATCCAACCACAAAGTACTGCCTTACGCTCCTTTTCACTTGTTTAATAGAGTCTCCTACCTGCTTTGCTAAACAAAAAAAACTTTTTTGTTTGCAGAGCCCAAAAGACTATTTTGATTTTTACAAATGGAAATTAATCAGGCAAGTGACTTCTCCCCTTCTTTCCCCCTTCTTTCATAATCTATGTCAACTTCTGCTGTGCCATCTTTTATATAAAAACTTCTAAAGCTCTGCGAATCCTGTGTCACAAGTGCATTAATTTTTTTATTTGTAAGACAAATATTTTTTTTAAAAATATGGTAAAAACAAATTTAAAATATCAGTTTAAATGGTTATAAATGTAAAATCCAACTCCAGTCAAAGCTTTTATTTTTACGGAAGGGTATGACATTTTTGTCACGCTTTTAATGCAATCTGTGCTATTTTAAGTTATTAGTGAGGGTAATGGGTGTCACCAAGATAGCAAAAAGCCAAAAGCAGTAAAAGAACTAAGCAACGCTCTAGCTTTTCCCAACTTTACTAAAAATGCCTGTCTCCAGTGGGGAGATGTTTCAGCATGTCCTTCTATCTCCGTGAAACCTTGACATTTGGACAAGAAGTGGGGATGAATCTCCCCAGTTTTGTTCCAGACCACAGAAAAAATTTACAGATGTTCCATCAACAATTAATAACTTGGCCATGACTAAAAAAACATTTTTTCCTGGCTTTAACAAACTAACTAAAACAATTGGCCCCAAATCATTATAATTTCCATTTAAATCTTTTGCCTACAAAATAAAGGCTGGCACCAGATACTGCACAAATGGGGAGCAGTGTATCTGTAATAAGTGGACAGACCTTGAAGATATAATGGGTAATGTTGTATCTTATGTGTTAAATAAAGGAATCATATGTAAGGGGTACATAATTAATTTTGGAGAACCATGGCCTCTTAATTCCTCCCCATGACCTTGGCTCTGTATAGAAGTAATAATAAAAAAGAAAACATATTTTCATTAATGTCTCTTCAATGGGTCTTTTTCTAGACTGACTGAAAAGACGGCAGCTATTTTAGAGAAGAGAATAATAGAACCGTCAACATAAATAGCAGTGGTGCAAACACTGTGCTGAGTTTTGACAGATGTATCATCCAGAAAAATTTCAATAAAATTCCTTTAAGTAAAACAGAAGTTTTGTGTGTGCGTATGAAGCTACGTAAGGTATTTTTATATCCAAGCTCCTTCCATCTCCAGGCCAATCTGATGTTCCGCTAACACACGCACTAAGGCATGCAGCTTGTGGTTTGTTACATAACAATGTGAGCCAAGACACAGACCAAAAAAAAGACAAATGTTTGTTTTTCCATGATCTGCGAGGCAGGTCCTCCGCCTGACATTTTCTTAGGCCCATGTTCAGAATTGTGAGGTGACTTAAGCAGGAGGTTGGAATGCACCAACACTAACTGCTAGGGGAGCGCAGTAAGTAACCTTTAATCTACAGACATGTAAAGCAATTCTTTACTGGTAACCATACTACTGGTCAGTATTCAGTGTATTGAAGGTATGATTACAGATTAAAGGGCCAGTCCACCTAAAACTGATTTTTCTGATTTGTTTAAATGACAGCCATGGCCAGCATGGTCTTAGTCTTCCTGTTGCAATTTTTATTTATTTACCATTACAGAGAATGAAGCAGGAGGACTAAAACTCTATGGGGAAGAATGGTGACAGGAACTTCAATGGGACCATTTTGACAGTGAAGTCTCTGTGAAATATAAACTCAAAGAAGACTGTGGGGTCTATTCACTAAGCTGCCGTAGGCAGCCAAGTGAACAACCGACCCGAAGTGAAGGGAGCCGAATGCTGTTCGGCTATTCACTTCAGGCTTGTACGGCTGATTTCAGCCGTATATTGGCTAAAATCAGCTGTACATCGGCTTGCTTTGTGCGGCTTCGGGTCGGCCGAATATGCTCAGCATGTTCGGCCAACCCAAAGTGCAGAAGGAGTTCGACTCAGCTGATCCAACATCTGGATCGGGTAAGCCGAACCTCCAGCAGGCTACTCGCTGCTGTGCGGTCATTCCACATACAGTAGATGCCGAACAGCATCTCGGCTATTTCGAACAGCATCTCGGCTATTTTGCTCGGTACCTCTGTGTTGTGCCGAGCAGAATAGAAAAAGAGTTAAAAAAGTAGAAAAAATAAAATAGAAAATGATTGGGCGGAGCTAGCCGTGACAGCTAGTTACGCCCAACTGTTTTTTATTGGCTGGGCGGTTCTGCTGCCGTCAGAATAAAAAAAAAACACCACCATAGGAATGCATAGCTAGATTCCGATTGGCTATTTCACTTTGCAAATAGCCAATTGGAATCTAGCTATGCATTCCTATTGTGTTTTTTTGTTTTTTTATTCTGAAAAAAAAAGACAACCGAGCAGGGAAAGGTTTACTCTGATCGATCGAAAAAGTGTTTCTCTCCCGGGCGGCCGGGAGCCGCTATCTAATAGCAGGAGACTCCCGGAGCGTCCGGGAGAGTTAGGCAATCTGGAGATCTGCGTCCCTGGTTACCAGGTAACCAGGGACGCTGATCTGTCTGCGCAAGTGGCCCGGAGCCAGCTGTGAGATGACGGCTGGCTCCGCCCAGCAGTCAGTAGCAGGCTGTCGGCCGGCCTATGGCTGGCCGTTCAGCCAGCTTCGGCGTTCACCTCGGCTCAGTCGAGCCGAAGCATATGCCTTTGGCTCAACTGAGCC